GCCAATATCGATATATTTTTTGCTATTTTGTTCTGAACATATCTGATATGAGATTTCCAGGAGAATTTGTCATCAACTATGACACCTAGAAATTTAATTTCATGTACTCAGCTGAGGCATTTGGAACAGCTGACTTTCACACTGTTTTTAAAAGTGAGCTGGATGTTCCAAGGTGGGGACTGTAACAGGCAGTTATACAGGAAAAATATGTCTGGATTTTGCATGGCGTTAAAGTGTAAATTGGTTTGAAGTTACTTGTTTACAAGGACATTTATTCTGCCTGTAATCTTAGGTATAGTGTATTACGAGCATGTGCTTGATATGATAATACCAACCTAACAAATACAGCAATACACTGCTGTCTTTCTGAAAAAACAACAACTTGTGTTTGCTGTTGCTAAAAATGTGCAACATTACAGTGTGCCAGTTCTGAGAATTTTCTAAAACTTTACTACATATTGGAAATTATGTGTTCTTTTTTCTGAAACAGTAATATATTCTTATTTTATACCAATATTCCAATGACCAATTACTATGCAGTAAGTCTTTTATTATACCATGAAGTGCTTTGTGATTAAACACATAGCCTGACATGCTACCAAGCACATTCTTGGAAAATGAATCTCGATGAGTTCTTATAATTAAATACAATTACTACTTTGATCTACAAGTTATCTCTTTAGTAAAATAAATGTAAAGCTCTATTTTGATGATTTTGCACTGACATTAATACAAGTGGTATGTTTTTTGCAAAGGGGATGATAAATTTGGCTTCTGATTTGGCAGTTAAGGGGAAAGTTACACCACTTACAAAACTAAGCAACTGATTAGCCTTGTTTTTTGCACTACTCTGTTGCAAACGTGTGTTACACATCTTACTCATTGTGAAAGTGTGCTGTTGCCTTTTGAAACCCACTTTCAGATTTATGATCAGGGGCTGTATTCACAAAGAACTAAGTGTAAGAAATTGAGAATTTCTGCCATAATAAAAAGAGGGTTCCTGTTGCTGTGGATGGCACCATAAATAAACCTATGTGTTTTGTCAGTGATTGATTGACAGGTGACCAGTCTGCAAAATAAAGTATTCATGAGTGGTGAATGAACTGAATCATTTAAAATATTGTACATCAGAGAGTAGGTCCTGTGGACTGCTTCTATAACATTTAAGACTTAGAGTGTATAGCACCAAAAAGCTTTGTGAATTACATGTAGACCAAAAACTTTGGAATTCAAAAGTTAGACTAGCCCACCCCTTATTTTTAGTGGTTTCTCCTAACTCAGCCACTTTTAGCCTTATGATGTGTGACGAATAAATCAAAAACCAATAATCTACTTGTCAAATATGTGACAACACAAAAAGGAGCACTGCTGTTTCATGCCTAAGTCACGTCAGACCAGGTATAGATAAAAAATCACTTTAATCTAGTCTAGTTTGACCTAGATTAGTCTAGAGCAGGGGTTTTCAGCCCCCCGGAGGTCCGTGAAGGCCCTGCACATGGTCCGTGACCATGCATTCAATAGTCGTTTTCACACTGAGATCCCACTCTACTGCTGTTCCAAAGAGTCACCAATATCCCGCCCTTGTGCTGTTCATGTAGATCAAACTAAGGGAGGCATAATCGAAAGCCAGCCTGTGAATTCATACAGCAGGCTAGGATTCTGCACTAGAGGCGTGATGCAACGTCACTCTGCGACAACAATTTGTGCTGGTAGTCTTCAAGCCAAAACAACAATGGTGGGAGAGATAAGTGTGGATGTAGCTTTGCTGGTTCTTCAAGCATTTTTTTTGCTTCATGCAAAATTGATTAGTGTGTGATATGTGTGGAAATGTCATGAGTAATAACTGTAATCAATGCATTTGTGACATTGGGAATGCTTTGACCTGTAAGTTAGAAAGAAACCAATAACAGTTTCAGGCAGAGAGGTGTGCAGAACTATTTATTTATTTATTGAACATTATATTACATGCAGGACTGATGGCTCACCCTTTCTACACAGAGGGTGTCTCCCCTTTGTCTGATACTACCTACCAGGGTGGACCAGAAGCGCAATGAAAATGGCCCGCCATTCCAAGTTTGTGACTTACACACAAAAAACTAGACAGAAAAAAGGTGCATATGCATTTTCCTACATTAATTATTGTTTGTGAATAATCAAATTCATGCAAATATATAACATTTCGAAAAGTCAGGGTGATTTTCAGGATTAAAATAGTGCCAATCTGGTCCACAGGTTACTTAGTCATAATGGTGGTCCCTGGGTCATAATTAGTTAAAACGAGAGTGAATAGATTGTTTAAAACACACTTTCAGATTTGTGAAACCTTTGCAAAACTGCGTTGAAATGTTCCCTTTTAATCTAATCCAAGTTTAACACGTCTCAATACAAATGTTGTTAATCTAGACCTGGTCTAATGTGATCTAGTATTGTGAATAAAATTTCCCTTTACTGTACCCTTAACCGTCGAATCGGAAGCCAACTTCGGCGTCGTCGGCCAAATAATTTGCTTTGGGCTCTGCATATGACTGTAACGTACTGGAGCAACTGGACAACAATATTAGCAATGTTTTTCTCATGTGCTCTTTGGTGGCATTTCTTAAGAGGGCTTTTATCCTCCGTCAAAGCTAATAGTAAACAAGCGGTTTCGGTTTCCTGTGGATTCCCCAGTTTCATCTCATGACAAGCTTCTTTCAGCGCCAGCTAAACTCATTCAACTCTGTGTGGGAGGGCGGTCCATGATGAACAGCTAGTAGCTTTTGAGTAGGCTAGCAGTAAGGAGCTAGCGTGCTTCTAAACTGTGTCGTTTATTTTCGGAATAGCACGATGAAGAACATCATGAAGTATTATAGATATATTCCGCTACACCATATTGACAACATCACCGGGAGCTAGGGGCCTTTTCTTTCCACAAAACAGGACTGTATCGACAACTCAGTATGACTGGATGGACAAACATTAGAGCTAGCAGAGCTGGTTGAGACTTTCAGAGTGTGGCACGAATGGGATTTACTCAACTAGCCGCTGCTAACGACTGTGCTGGCTGACTAGCTTCGTGGCTAACCGGTTGGCATTAGCTGTCTGTGACAGGTAACATTCTATTTGTTTTTTTCCCCCATGTTTTGTTGTGTATTTGCTTTTACTTTTAATAAAAACAGATACCCAGTTACTCACACGATAAACTTTAGGGTTGCAACCCTTTATTGTAGTAACGTTAGACGTGCATTAGCTGCGCTATGAGTTGTTTTCATATCGTAAATGACATTGATTGGTATAATGAACTTGGCTAGCATTGTTAGCTAAGAAACACTACGTAACGTTGACCCGCTAAGCAGCAACACGGTCCAGAAACTAGGCGATGTGTCAGGTTTAGGCTAACGTTACAAGCTAAACCTTAGCAGTGTTAGCCACACTGTGGGCGTTTGTTTGCTAACGAGTTTGTTTACAACATTTTTGAAGTAGTTTCATTCGACATTCCTGGACATTTATCACTTCATTGCTTCCTTCCGACTTGGCACAAGTTAAGTTAACTTTTTAAAGCAAATATTTTTTCTAATAATATGTAATAATATTATGTCGCTAATACAATGACAGGTTATGGTTTCATTAGCTAAGGTGCAATCGTAATATAATTTAACAAAATGCCACCACCTTTTATTGGAAGTTAAGTAATTGTTTGCCACTTAAGTTGTCGTAAGTGTGTTTCTTATCTGTTTGTCAAAACTGAACGAAAGCATCTTTACATAATGGCAGTGTGCATGAAATATGGTGAGCTCAAAAAGCAATATACAGTGGTCCTGTGGACATTCCATCTAACTTAACTTTAACTACATAAACTTTTAGAAGCCCAGGTCAAACTGGGATTCCATCAGGAGTGTGAATTTGTAATTTTTTTTTGCAACTTTACCAACTAGTGAAGTCAGATATTTACCACAAGTATTTTGTATTTATTGTACATGGGTTAGTGATAATCATGTAATTTTTGTTTTCCTCTTTCTCACAGTTGAATGACAGCACTCATCTAATAATTACCAGGGTCTGAAAAAAGTGGACCTGCTGGCACAATCATGCCTCCCAGGCCCTCCTCAGGAGAACTATGGGGGATGCACATGATGCCCCCCAAAATTCTAGTGGATTGCCTTCTGCCAAATGGCATGATTCTTACATTGGAGTGCCTCCGGGAGGCCACACTGATCACAGTCAAGCATGAGCTTTTCAGAGAGGCCAGGAAGTACCCTCTCTACCATCTGCTGCAGGAGGAGAGCTCTTACATCTTTGTCAGTGTCACCCAGGAGGCAGAGCTGGAGGAGTTTTATGATGAAACCAGGAAGTTGTGTGATCTTAGGCTCTTCCAACCCTTCCTCAAAGTTATCGAGCCAGTAGGCAACAGAGAAGAGAAAATTCTCAACAGAGAGATAGGTAGGCTTCTTGACTTTTTTGCAGTCACAAACCAACCCCGCTCTACTATATTGTAATGTACTATAACAGTCATTGATCTTGGCAGGTTCATTACCTACAGTGAGGAGGATAATAATAATAATACTAATTACTTTAACTAGTCACAGTATATGTAACTGTTGCACCCACAATATTGTGTCATGACATGCACTGTATTATTCATTTCATTGCGTCATGAAGAATGCATCTTAAAACAGGTTAGAAGACTCACAACTAATTTTTCTAAATCATTTGTTTTTCCCTGTAGGTTTTGCTATTGGAATGCCTATATGCGAGTTTGATTTGGTGAAAGACCCAGAAGTGCAGGACTTCAGAAGGAACATTTTAAATGTTTGCAAGGAGGTTGTGGACCTCAGAGACAGTAACGGACCCCACAGTAGAGCTCTGTACGTCTATCCACCTAATGTAGAATCCTCCTCAGAACTTCCCAAGCACATCTACAGCAAGCTAGACAAAGGTAAGAGTTTTTTTTTCTGTGCAGCAATGTTCACTGTATTTTTTCTGTTTGCCCTTTTTGGTATATGTAAAATTATTCATGAAGTTTTGTGAATGCTTCCTAAATTTAAATGTAATTTTTTATTTTCTGTCCAGGTCAAATCATCGTGGTCATTTGGGTCATTGTGTCACCCAGCAATGACAAACAGAAGTATACCCTGAAGATAAATCATGACTATGTGCCAGAGCAGGTGATTGCGGAAGCCATCCGTAAGAAGACACGCAGTATGCTGCTGTCCCAGGAGCAGTTAAAGATGTGTGTACAGGAGTATCAGGGAAAGTACATCCTCAAAGTCTGCGGCTGTGATGAGTACTTACTGGAGAAATACCCTCTAAGTCAGTACAAGGTAATTTATTTTAATCTGAGAAAAGTTGCATCTGGTATTATTGTGCTTAGAGTGGAGAGATCCACTTCACATGAAATTTTTTCTCCACTCCAAATGTGCTTGACATTCATGACATCTAGTTAAATTTATGTGGGAAAAAAATGCTGCCTGTAAAATGTATTGATTCATTAATGCTGTATATATCACATCATATAAGAACTAATGTTTCAGTTATTTCTGAGTTGTAATCCAGTCATTTACATGTTGATAAACCTCCAAATTGTATGAATGACTTCATGTCACTTTGTCTGTCTTCAACAGTATGTGCGCAGCTGTATCATGCTTGGACGGATGCCCAACTTGATGCTAATGACAAAAGATGACTTGTATTCCCAACTGCCCATGGACAGCTTCACCATGCCATCATATGCAAGGCGAATATCCACAGCAACCCCCTACATGAATGGGGAAACAGGCACCAAATCCTTATGGATTATCAATGGAGCGCTGAGGATCAGGATACTGTGTGCCACTTACGTTAATGTCAACATCAGAGACATTGATAAGGTAAAATGCAGTGTGGTGCTGTAGCTACCTCATCTTGTTGTCTGTAAAGGATCTCTGCTTTGGCTTGAATTAAATCACTTCTGATTGTAAACTCACATCTCCAGTATCTTGGAAGATATTTGAATCTAGGGTCTCACATTTTACAGTCAGAAATGCAGTGAAAGATCTTTTTACTCAGTGGAAATCTGTTGTTCTCGTGGCTGCTTTAGATCTACGTCAGGACCGGGATATACCACGGTGGAGAGCAGCTGTGTGACAATGTCAACACGCAGCGTGTGCCCTGTTCAAACCCCAGGTTGTACATAATGATGACTGGTCTGTCATACTCAGCTTTGCAACAGTAGTTGTACTGATTATGGTAACGGTTGCTTCCTTGTTTTTTCCAGGTGGAACGAGTGGCTGAACTATGATATGTTCATTCCAGACATCCCCCGTGCTGCCCGACTCTGCCTCTCCATCTGCTCCGTGAAAGGGAGGAAGGGAGCTAAAGAGGTTCGCAGTGAAATACTCAAATGCTATAAAAGTTACAATGCTGAGTATTTCTGTTCTGGTTGATGTGGCGACACATGTAGGGGCTGCCCCCTGAAAATCAACTAGTCTACTCATTAGTTGCGAGACCTGTCCGAGCCTACATTCGAGCCTACACCTCTCATGTCTCTTCACAGTGCCAGACTAGAGTCAAGCTCAACAGGGTCTTCTTTCCCCACTGATTCTGCCAAGCCCGTTCCCTTGGCTGTGGTTTCGCTAGGGGGTAGGTAGGGACAGTGGGAATCTCGTTCATCCATTCATGCGCGTCACTAATTAGATGATGAGGCATTTGGCTACCTTAAGAGAGTCATAGTTATTTTTATTGTATTTTATTTTTTGTCAGCCAGTGTGCATTATAATAGAAGGCGGCCCCAGCCTCCATTAGTTTCTTGTCTTCTCCTCATTTTGGTGTGCCAAGCAGCAGTTTGACAGTACTTCCCTCTGTGGTCGGGGGCAATACCCACCTCAGTGGGGACACTGTCCGAGACTTGGATGATATTAAGGTCAGATGACACTATTTAGCAAATTGCAGAACAAGGAGAAAGGGGCAACAAAACCCACTAGGAAAAGCCGCATAAAAGTGAGATTTGTACTTTATTAGAAGTGTTTTCAAACATCATGGTCTACTTTTACAAGCGAAAAGACTAATGGTCGTGAAGATGTGGCTAGCTTTACATAGCCTAATGTTATGCGAGTCTGGTTTGTTTATTTATTTCCGTTAAAGTGCAATGCACAGCCGTTTACCGACTGTTTCTGTGACATATGTCCATCCGAACAGGACTAGGAAGCTAACAAACGTGCGCAGGGAAACCATTTTAATGAGGAATTATAAATAAGAGGAATCGTTCACAGTGCAAGCTGGCACACATCTAATTTGCTGTAACAACATGCGTTGTGGTTAACTGATGGGAGAAGCTTAAATTCATTGGTAAACTAGGCTATAACCACATCAGAAAAAAAACTAGCCTATAAGAGCGTTGTTTCAATTGCCTGTCTGGTTATTCCAACAAATCCATATGGAAGCCTGACATTATATATTGTTAATTTAAATAGGTCACAGTTTAACTGTCACATCATCTGCAGTTGTCTTTTAGAATTTAAATGCTCGGAAATATGTTCCTGACATTCTTTTGCATTTGATTATCGATGTTAATGTGGTCAAAATCATCAGTGAAATTCATGCTAGTTGATTTTCTGACAGCCTAGGCTATATAAATAAATAAATAAATGAACAGTTCAGTAGTCGCACTGAAGAGTTGACTTCAGTTGACTGATAAAATCCTTACCTGGGTACAGCCCTACACACATACTTTCTTGTGTATATGTTTACAGTGCAGCTCAACAAACTCAAATTATAATAATAAGTCAGGATTTTGCCTTTTTTTCCATCATGCTGTTAGCACGGTAAAGTTGGTTTGCAGCTCTTCCATCTTCATTGAGCTACTCTCAACAGTATATAAACTGACTCGCTGTCAAAAAGTGCTAAAAAAATGCCCTGTTATGATTTGCTGATGCATTTTTAATGAAATGTATCAATAACATCTGTGACATACATTGTGTTTTTCTGTACTTGTTCACAATAAATGCCACACTGTGTTTTGTCTGTTGAAGGCTTTTAATGTGAAGCAAGCAGCAGTAGTATGGACTGTTTGGTTGGCATTAGCAGTGACTCAATACAGCTCTGATACAATGTTAGGGGAGTGGATAGTAAACAGAGTGGCTGTCAACAGTGGATGCAAAGTAAAACAGTAAGGCTGGATTACATGCATCCTTTCCTGTGAATCTCTTGTGCTTATGCAGGCACTTTGTATCCGGTGCAGTGATGGTGGACTCCAACACTAGCACTACAAACTACTAAATAGATTACACAATAGTTAACACAAAGTTAATTTAATGACTATTGCAGAAAAGATGCCGACTATAAATAGTACAAAGCAGTATTTGATTTTATGTAAATCTTAAAGATTATGACAGGAAATATTAAGATGTCTAACGGTAATGTAAAACTTTTGTTTGTTTGAGGAGACAAAGTCAGTTAATGCAGGCATGGGAAATAATTCCCTTGTGTTCTTCACTGCACCTGTCTGTTTCATAGCCCCAAGCTGTTTCCTATTTAATTATTTTTGTACACATCAACTTACTGGTATTTTACTGTAGGAGCACTGTCCTCTTGCCTGGGGCAACATCAACCTGTTTGACTACACCCACACACTAGTAGCAGGAAAGATGGCTCTCAACCTGTGGCCTGTTCCACACGGCCTGGAAGACCTGCTCAACCCTATTGGCATCACAGGCTCTAACCCAAACAAGGTGAACAGCAAATGTCAACATTAGGAATGTAATTCTCCTTCAATGTTTGTGCTCGCAGTAGTGTCTCATATTTGTTTTTACAGAGCAAATATTGTGATGGAGATATTTAAAATATAATCAGGCATTGCTCTCCTCTGTTCTCTCATGGAAGTGTTTTTGTTAACTAAAAATATGTTTTTGTAAGCAATGTAGAACTCCACATGACAAAAAATAGTTATTTAATTTAAAATACAAGCATTATCAAAGTAGATTTCTTTTAGATATATGGACGATCATGAAACAATAAATTAGAATAACATTGCACAATTCCCTAGTGTTTTAGGCATTTCAGATATATTTTAGAGGTTTTGAAGCTTAGAGGTCTTCTTTAATTGAGCTGGATTTAAGTTGTCTTGATTTAGGGAGCCACAAGCTTCTTATCCTACTTTCTTAATTAGTCATTGACATTGGCACCTTTTGTTTTTTGATGACATTAACCACCTTGAGTGAACTTTCCTCTTGCACCTCTTTCTGAACATGTAGGAAACCCCTTGTCTTGAGCTGGAGTTTGATCATTTCAGCTGCCCTGTCAAGTTTCCTGATATGACCACCATAGAGGACCATGCAAACTGGAATATATCCAGAGAGCTTGGCTTTAATTACTGCCACACTGGTTTGGTAAGATGCCAAGCATTTGTTTTTTTTACAGATTCATCATGAGATCCGAGTTTAACTGTTTGTTATGTGGTGTCATAGAGCAGCAGGCTGGTCCGTGACAACCCCCTGACTGATAGCGACGCCGAGCAGCTGCGGCAGGTGTGTAACAGGGACCCACTGTCTGAAATCACTGAGCAGGAGAAAGACTTTCTCTGGAGGCATAGGTAATGTGTGTTTGGTTGTACACCATTGTATGGGGTTTGTGAGGGTATATGAAAGGTCTACGTTGCATTTTACACAAGTGTCATTGTAACTTCATATGGGGCTAGATATTATTAAACTTAACTTATTTTTTATCTCCAAACTTTTTAGACAAGACTGTGTCAATATGCCAGAGATCCTTCCCAAGATCCTCCTGGCTGTGAAATGGAACTCCAGAGATGAGGTTGCGCAGGTAAGCTCAGGTTTCTTCTGCTAACACACCTTTACTTTAAAAGACATCACCTGGGGAAATAGGTATGTGCCAAATGTAGTTATCATACTAATGCAACTCTGCATTTGTAAACCTGATTTGTCGGCAGACAGAATGTTCTGTCTTATGCATCGTGTGGTTGTTCAAAGAGTTCATCAGTGCTGAAAATCTGCAGTCAGTTTGTTTGTTTCTTCTTTAAGATGTATTGCCTTCTGAAGGACTGGCCTGCTATCAAGCCAGAACAAGCCATGGAGTTGCTGGACTGCAACTTCCCTGATCCTATGATCAGAGAGTTTGCCGTGAAGTGCCTAGAGAAATACCTAATTGATGACAAACTCTCACAGTACCTCATTCAACTGGTTCAGGTGTGTTGCATTCTTATGAGGCTATAAATAACCTGTAAATAGCAGTAAATAACTTGAACCTTTATGGGAAGTCTTCCTGCTTGAGGTTGGCATTTGAGATAGATATGCTACAGTAGTGGGTTTTAGATACAAAACACTGTTTTTATGGGATTTTCTGTATTGTCTGTGTTTGTGCCCAGGTTCTAAAGTAT